AATAATATATATATATATATAATATATATATATATATATATATATATATATATATATATATATATACATAGAAGAATAAGATCCGATAGACCATAAACTGGAAAATTAAGACAAACTGTAATTTTTAATTAATTTTCTAATGCCACGTATTAAATAATTCATACATAACCCAATGTAATTATACAACCAAAACTGATGCATATGTTCAAAACTATAATATAAAACTCTAATATAATTTAAAACTTAATATCTAAAACAATTTCTTCACGATTTGCACAGAATTTATTCTTGGGTCATGTATGATTGATTTTAATCCTTATGCGAACAATTTAATTTTCCAATTAATTTAAGAGAATATTTTAATTTTTTTACAAATAGAAAATTATTAACTCTTTTTATTTAAATTTTTTATCTTTCCAAGCATTTGAAATATATTAAAGAATTGTTAAACAAATGCTCAAAAATTTAATTTTTCTAAAGAAAAAAAATTGTTCGAATAAGAATTAAAAATCGTGGTATGAGTTATGTATATCTTCATGCGTAAAACGTTCGATAGATAAACGAATAAATACACTCGGCTTACCGTTCGCGCGGAAAGCATACACAGCATACCTCCGCTAAGTAATTGACTTATGTCAAAGTATGTTGTATCACATGTGTACGTTTCCTCGTGCAGAAATAAACTCCAACGGAATACCAAGTTGTTTGTTGGTTTTCTTTTACTCTTTGTCATTTTATTCAAAATAAAATTTCTATTCTACAATAATAACAAGTCATTCATTTCTATGAAACGATTATATAACATAAGCTTAACTCTAGTAGCACATGTAAATTTTGAGAATATTTAGAGAATATTATAAAAATCACATAAAAATTCCACATATTTCTTACATATCTGAGATGATATATATAAATGATTATGATTATGATATATATAAAAATTGACTGAAAAAATGTTCGCACATTCAAGTATTTTTGTCTAAAGAACATGACTATATTCAATATAAATATAAAGAGAATTTACTTCTGTAATATCCTTCAAATAGATTCTTAGAATCTACATGTACTGTTAGAGATATATGCATGCTCGAAGCTGCCATTATTGTATTTTAAAAGATGCTTTAGAGCAACACACTTACAATTGATCACACTTCTTTTTAAATTGCGATTAGCACTAAACACGAGCTCCTAAACAGCCAAGATGAAAATACAAAGTTCGATGTGATATGAGCGTCGATCAATTGCATTTAATACTAATCGTATGGTGTGTACATATATATGATCCACGGAATGTAAATTATCTCGCGTCTATTCGTCCCAGACATCATATATTTACAAGGAATATATTATACATAATACGTATTACGCTAAAGCTTATATATATAAATAATAAATGCAAATATTATAAAATTATATTTGTTCATATGTCTGGATACATTTGTGATTTCGATAAAAATGAGGAGAAATATGCATTTCTCATCGTATTCTTGTAAAACCTTAAACCCTTAAACACCATACATTCCTTATAAATATATGGTATTATTCAATTGAGTGAAAAATTATACACACGATCATCTACGATAATCGAATTAATTACATTTCATTAAAACATTCTCGTAGTTTATTCTTTCAGCTTGAATTATTGAACTTATTCTAGCATAGCTTTCTTAAATCACATAGAATAGACATAAAGAATATTCCAAAGACTGCACTTTCTTTCCAATCACAGAGACAATCTTGATATGAATCTACAATCTCTTGGATTTATTCCTCACAAACATTAAATCGATGTCACTATTAATAATACTTCTAATTTTTAACATTTCTAATTTAAATATCTTTATTATTAATCTATGAAAACTCTATTAGTCATTTTGCAAAATTATTTTGAAATTAATTAATAAACTAAGTTTTATTATTTACATTTTGCATATCTAATATATTGCATATAAATCTAATTTACAATTCTCAGTGCTAAAAACTATTCAGTAATAGTCAATCTCATAATTTAGCAATTAAAAGTAGTTAAAAGAAAGTGTATTTTGGAATGTATTGTATAATTATATTTAAGTAACATGATCACAAGGACTTGTACATTCGTATATTACAGGCATATATTATTTTGTCAATGAATAAAATATTTTTAGACTGCTATTTTTCGCAGCCTACTGCAAATGTTATAGATTATTAAATTTAACATAAAAAGAAACAAACACAGTGTGTGAAAACATTGAAACTGTATAAAAACATATTGAATTGGTAGTTGAATTATTCAAAAAATCGAAAACATTTAAACAATATATTAACATCATCAAACAATAAACGAGTGGAACAGTTCTACTGATTAAATGTGAAATACCAGTTTTGCATTTTAAATAGAAACCATACGCACTGCAAAAAAATACAAATATAATTTTAACAAAGATTAAGCATCATATAAATTTCATCTAAAAATTTTTTTATAATTTTACATAACAGAAGATATCATAAACATTTAAATTTCTCGTTCTTTGATTTTTCTTATATGTTTGCTTCAAGATCGATAAGAGATTAATTTACGAATGGTACTTACATTTTCCTTATAATTCTTAGTATCGCGGCATTGTTAAATCAGCATTTACATCCTCATATTCTCCTCGTATAAAAGAGTGTGCAAGTAAATTATTCGCGGTCAATCTTCTCTTCGGATCGTGTTGAAGACATTTCTTCACGAAATCTATACCTTCCGCAGAAAGATTCTTCGGAAGTGCTGGTGTGTCTCCCATTCCAACCTTGTAAAAAAAGCCAAAGATTTCAAGTTAGATTAATGTATAATATTCCAATATATTAACATAATTTAAAAAATAATATTTAAAATTCAATTTAAAAAAAAACTTATAAAAATACTTAATTTTAAAATTCAATTAAAAAAAACTTATAAAAATATTTAATTTAAATTTTATCCCTAAAAATTTAATCTTTTTTAAATCACTTTCTTGCTTTATGATAACATATTTATTTGCAGTTTCTACCTTAAACATAATTTGATAATTTGAATCATAATCCGACCAAGGTCGTCGTCCACTCGCCATCTCAATAATGCAGCAACCCACAGACCAGATATCAGCGGCTCTACCGTGTCCACTACTTTCAGATTTCATGAATACTTCTGGTGCCATATAAGCTTTAAGAAATAATAATAATTAAAAATTAGTCACATTTCTTAAGCAGTTTATTTAATTTTTAACAATAATCTGCTATGATAAATGTATAAAATGTTTTACAATAATTGAAATATTAACCTTGAGTTCCAACAAAGCCCTGAAGTTCTCCAGGCATAGTTGTATGTGCTTTAATTTGTACCGCACTACCAAAATCGCCGAGTTTCAAACAATTGCCTTCGTCTGTTAAAAAAATATTTGCGGCTGCAAACAAAAAAAAACGTTAAGTGAATTGTCAAAATAATAAATTTTTTACGTAAGATTATTTAATTTAAATAATTACTTTTGATATCTCGATGAACTATTCCGTGGAAGTGTAATGCTGCCACAGCCGAAAGGAGCTGATGCGTGTATTTTCTGACTAAAGATTCCGGCAATCCATTACCACTACCCGCTACTAAACTCTCAAGAGTTCCTTCCGCACAAAATTCCATAAAAATCAGCATCTCCTCCTGAAAGCAAAATTTATCATAATAAAACATAATAAAATCTGTTACAAGTTGAGATATTATGTAACGACAATTATGTTATGTTTGTTTACATACACGATGAATTTCTAATCCATAATATCGCACTAAATGCTGATGTTGAATTCCCTCAAATATTTGTAATTCTTCAGCAACGCGTCTGATTGCTCTGCAATCACCAGGTTGCAACTGTACCTCTTTCATAGCTAATAATTCACCAGTTTGATTGTTCACTACTGTATATACTTTGCCAAATCGTCCCTGACCTATGTTATAAAATTCATTTATTATAAAACAATAAGATATAAATATAAATTATAATTGTTATAATTAATCATATCTATTGATCTATATATGTATAATAGATAAAATACATTCTTATGTATATTCCATAAATAAATATACATATTTTCAAACGTACCTATTTTAATACCTCGCTGCCATGTAAACGTAACTCGTCTCGCCTTAATATGAACTCTGTCCGCTTTCCTATCAATGACTTGTCCGATGAGTTCTCGACTTCGCAATCTTTCATCAAGCTCATTCTCTACTTTCCTGAGAGCACGTATAACTCTTTCATGTCTCTGCGTGCCTCGCTCGGGTGTGTTTATTATCACCGAGAGATTTCCGTCAACCGTGCCCGGTGAATTGCTTTTCTTTGCATTAACCGATAACTCAGGCGATTTCAAAACGTCTCGTGGTTTCTGCTGAGGGAGGCTAATGCTTGCAGTTCTAGTACGACCATGACACGGCGATGAAGCTCTTGATCGCGACAATCTTCTTAGGTCTGGAAACATACGTTGCTAATTGTAAAATTTGTTCATTTAATTATTTTTAAAATCAAATTCTTTATTTAGAAAGTTTCAAAAATCTTATTAATTTAGATAATAAGACAAATATTTACAAAATAAAGATTTACAAAGAAATTGAGAAAACTAAGAGATCTATAAATGAAACTTGTAGTCATAGAAACAAATGGTATTTAGAAATTGATTGTGCAAAATTAGAATTTTCGACAAGAAAATCATAAATTACTTTCTGTTTCAGGCGTTGATCCTGATACGGTTCCCACTACATGAGATATGCAACGATCCATGCACATTTTTAACTCCTCGAATTCCTGGTCGGTGAGATGTTTTTGTATTTTGCGGCTCGCATACCGTTATTAAAAACTCCAGACCTTGATTTGCCCATCTGGGCCTCAAGCCACGGCCACGCTCGCATCGCGTTCTTACAAACTCCATCCACAGTAGTGCAAACGATACTAGACCCCGTGCCAAAATGGCTTTTTCTTCCAAGCGAAAATAATTTGCACATCTCTTTATGAAAATCAAAGCCCATCTTATAAGCTTGATGAAGAATCTCACGGATTCTCGATCGTAAGGGCGCTTGATCGTTTTCTGTATTCGATTGTTCCACTTCATTAGCGTCGCTTTGGAAATCCTCGACTACTATCGTTATGCGATGCCTCAAATCCAGAATTATATCCTATATAAATAAAAAAAAAAAATTTAGTTCTTCAATAATGTGAATAATTTTTTATTTAATATTTCTTACTTTCAACAGTTTTAATGATTCTTCCAATTCCTGATTGGAGACAGGCCACTTCTCAATGTCGCGTTTCAAACATTTGGCGAGATTGATACTCTTCACGATTTTTTCCCGGGCTTCTACGAACATTCCCTGCCACTCGCGACCGATACACATCAGATGGAATCTAAGCATTGTTTCACTACAGAAAAGAAGTTTATAAAAAATGTCAAAGCACAGACAAAAAATATATAAAATTTTCTCTTACTTGCATGGCAACTCATCGTCCTCCTTCTCTTCTGCGATTTCTCGAATCTCGCGAGTTCGTTCGACGAGAAATTCATTTACTTGTTTAATCATTGTATACGCAATCTTACTACAAGAGAAACATTTTTCGTGTAATATCTCAAATATCAAATATATAAATACAAGTTTTAATATACTAATAATATTTTAAATTATAAATTATAAATTATAATTTTATATTTTTATCAAATTCGATTACTATTATTTTCTCTAATCTTTAAAATCTTATTCCAATACTTCACTCACTAGAATTTTACGCCAGCAATCTTATATCCATCGTTTATATTCCCAGCGATTGACTTGACGAATATCCATTCATCCATAATTAAATTCTTATGGAAACTGTCATGCTGCACCATATCTATCCACTGCTGAAGATAATCCAGATATAGCTCAAACACGGCTCCCAGACTCTCGTCGAAGGACTTGACATCCTCTTCGAACAGACACTCACAGCCAGTTTCGTCGCTAGCGACGGCAGCACGAGAGTGCGCGGCGAATCGGTCGCGATGGATGCAAGCGATCCTGAGACCCTCGCGAAGCTCCCGCATGAGCTGTCGAACCGACAAAGAACTCGGCTGATCCGGTTTCTGTTCCAGTCTCATCCTTAGAAATTCGTGAACCACGTCTAAGGGCACACGTGAAAGAAACACGAAAGCTGCCCTAAGAAAAGAAATATGCAAATGGCATTATTTTAACAGATAACATGTAATATATAGCTCAATTCTATTTTTTCTTCCAAAGTGGGTAACATTTAAATGTAGAGATTTATTTCATTTTTCTTTTTGATACAATTTTAATTTAATAAAAATATTTGATTTAATTTTTTGAAAAAAAAATCAGAATTTGGGAATAAAATAGATTATTTCTCAAAATTTAAATTAAAAATGCAAAGCTCAAGAATTCTTTTCGTAATTGGGAATTTTACCTATACGATGGTAGATTTAATTCTTTTGCTTCAGAACTCCATATACCGTATCGTCGTAATTCTCTGTCACCTTCGTATTCTTCACTCGTATTACTATCGCATCCTTCGCAGTCATTTTTTTCCAAAGTTAATCTTGCTTTTCTCAATATAGATGTATGCAATCGATCCAAGAAATTCAAACTTTTTCTAAGACCTCTCGTTTTTAATACATCTTCAATATACTTTCTGAATAAATAAAAATTATCATTACACAATATATACTTATATTATATAATCAAAGTTGTGTGAACATTTTTTTATTTAAAATAAAAATTTTACTATAAAACTTTTTGAAATAAAATAAGAAATTTTATAGAAAAATTTTATAAAGAGATAAATTAAAAATAGATTTATATCAAAAGCCTGATATATATTTATCAAAATGCACCTGTAAGCATGTCGATCAAATTCCACCAAATAGAAATCGAGTCGGTCCACTCTTTCGTCTTCCATATACGAAAACGAAGTTTCCGGAGTAGGTGGCAGTGATTGTGATATAAACGATAAACCTCCGATTGAAGAATTATTGCTATTATTGCTATCAGAGGGGCTGGAAGTTTCGTCCTGTTGAGGTAGTTCAAATCGCACCATAGATTGTCGCTCTGCAGAATCGATGGTATCTGAAGATCGCGAACTAAAGATAGGAATAATCGATTATCTAAAAAAAAGTTCTATACATACATCAAGAGAAATTTCACTTTTTTTTTCATATACACGTATATTGTAAACGGAACGAAATTCAAATGTAAGTAGCAAGTATATGTAAGTAGCACGATTCCAAAGAAAAGTAACAGAAATAACGTGATTCACCTCAACGTACCTGATGCCGGAGTCATTGAATTCATCCTGTTTCTTCTTGCTGTGTAGCATCATGAGTAATCTGCCCAATATCTGTAATTTGAATCGATGGTGTTTCGTCATGTTGTACCATAGACACATGGCTTTCACCCTGTCGGTGAATTCCGAGCTTTTGTACAACGGATAATTAACAGCGAATGCCTGAGATGATGGATACAGTGCTTCCGCGGCTTCCAAGCGAGCCAGCAGACCTTCCACTTGCTGCAATGCTTCTCCCTGTGCTCGGGCGCACGCGCGACAGTACATGGAAAGGCAACCCGGGCATACACTCAGTTCAATATTTGTAGACCGATCGCTTGTAATGTCACCAGGGTTGATAGAATTTGAACTTCCCTCTTGCACGTCCGCGATAGGATCGTATCTAATGTAAGTTGCATTTTTAGCATCATCGTTGTGTAAGTGTATATTCAATCACTTTATGCGTAAATTAAAAATATTATATATCGCACATTAAATTTCTGCACTCACCTGTATTCCATTATTTCTGTAAGTAAACCCTCCACTGCTTCTCGTTGACGGCATAAATATTCATCTTGCGCCATCGCGCTACGATCCGCATGATGCGCTTGCAATTCTAGCCATATCAAGTCCTTTAATTCGTTCTGCCATCTGGTTTCCTCATGACTCATCTGACGGCGACAATTTCGTTCAGTGCTTCCCTAAGCAACAAAAGAAACCCAGATAATTTGAACGATAAAATAAATAAAAAATATATATTCTAGAAATAGATATAAGCACATTTAATTTAATGTTTTCAAGATTTAATATTTTCACAATAATAAATAATTTTTTAAGATATTTACCAATCTAATTAAAAAAGAGAATGTATCGTGAAAAATTTCTCTCTCCTTCAAAGTTTGCGTTCTTGGCGATTGCGCGCGTAGACTTTCTTCACTTATCACCACGCTCTGCTCACTGACATCACGCTCCACCTTCTTCTCCTCGATGTCAACGGGTTTGGATCGTAGGCAACGAAATCTATTTCTAGTCTCGACCTGTGAAGAAGTTTATCGTTTGACTACGTCCAAATACGCGAAAAGCGTGAGAGCGACTGCGTTTGAAAAGCACAAAATGTTTGATAAATCGAATTGTTCCTTCTTTAAATCAAACAAATTCGATCGACTGATTCAGAACTGTTCATCAAGGCATAGATTTTCATACGCGATATTCAAAAATACAAAATTTCTTCTTTATTCTCTCAAACCTTAATTTGATTCGGTGTCGACACCGCCATGTCACCAGCGTGCTTCTCTGCATAGTTGTAGGCAGCCTCCACATCGAGCTTCAGATCCCTTTCATTACCACGTAGCAGTTTCAAACTTCTCTTGCACTTTCTGCTGCCTTCCTTCACGTCCTCCTTCGTTTCGTCCTCGCAGTCTTTGTCCGCTTTGTCGCACATTTCGTTGAAAATGATAGTGTCCAGGGTGTTGCGTCTGCGGATAACTGTCCTTGGCCTAGCTTCTTTCTCTATTGACTTAAGATCGCTAGAAATGACAAAGGCTAAAGATAGTTCACACACTTGATAGTCACACGAGCGACAATCAAATTAGCGACCGAGTTCGATTCATATCGCGAAAACTACTTTCCGCGAAGCGGAAACAAAAGCGCTCTCCGCTTATTTAACACATATATGTTTATTATTTCTTGAATTTTCAAAATCATATCTTAAATCTTAAAAATCACATATAAAGAATACGTACAAAACGTTAAATTATTTTATTCTTCATTATTATTTTTAAATAAAGCAATAAATTGATTATTGATGACTCGCTAAACTTGATCGTGTACAATCAGGAAATAGTATCGTAAATATTGGGCCGAGTGAAATGTACCTGCATGTAATAACTACTAGTATTTTCAGCAATTTAATTCGCAACTTTATTGTACGCACCTGCCTGATAAAAGTTTCTGCTTCATGTGCCTTTTCTTGCGACTGTGACGGGTCCTGGGTGGCGTTTGTCCGTAAATATCAGACATCTCATGTAGCGACTCTTCGAACTCGTTCGGCGGACTGATTGAATCATTCTTACTGCAAACAAGATATTTAATCGAATGTACGTTTCCGCCGGAAGATTTATCACCGATTATCGTCGGGGGAAATTTGCCGAGACGGGACGTTTAGAAATAAAAATGTTATCGCGAAAGCTATGTTTATTGCAAATTCCCACGCATTTGGAGTTACGCGTGGGCGATTCTCTCGAGGAAAAAAAACTAAATGTATGAATAAACTGTATCCACTTCAGTAAACCAAAAACGTTGACGGTGTGCCAGCAGTTTGTCAGCTGATTTCAGCAAAACAAAATGGAATAAAATAAAATAAAATGGACAGAATAGTCTTGACAATCGCAAATAAAATTTAATATTTAAGTTCTGATAATAAAACTAATAAAAAAAAGGATAACTAATAAGAGCCAACGTAGTTATTAAAATGTATAAAAAAATATAAATATAAATTACATGATATAAAAATATATATAAAATACGCAAATGTTTCGATAGATTTTAAATTTGAGTCTTCTTCAATGTGTCAATAAATTATGTAATATTATCATATACTAGTTATGTAATATTATGTAATATTATCATATACTAGTATATATTATGTAATATTATCATATACTAGTTCAATTATAAAGAACATTGTATTTATATCAAACACATATTTACTAGCACAAAACAGTCAATATAATTTGAGAGTTGATTGTCAATAGAAATTGAAAGTATCTATAAATTGAAAATATGACCATGTGAACAATTACGACATGGTAGATTCTGCTCAATTTTTTCCAACAAATCTGTGATCACAATTATGTGAGACTGATATATTTTTGCTGACTCTGCTAACAAAACTTATAATAAACACTTTGCAAAAATGTTTTCGACAGATTTGATTGATATCTATACAAATATTTATGTCAGTAAGCAAAATGTTAACAATATATTAGCAATGCAAGCTTCTAAGAGAATGTTGCATCAGACTGACATCAACTGTGTCTGTATTAAGTGTCAACAAAGTTTACCCACCTAACTTGATAACTGATCAGAGGCAGATATTAAGACAGACAAAATCTGTCATTTCGTAATTAAAATTTAGATGGAATATATCATTTGAATATTCGTCTTAATAATTACAAAATGAATTCTGTTTTTCACTTTCTGTCATTATGATTTTGTCGGCAGGTTCTGTTAAATATCTGCTGAAATCTTATGACAAAATTTGCAAAATCTGTTTTTAATTATTTGAAATGTAAAAGTTACAGAAAATAATAGTAAATTGATTTTAATAGAAATTAAAAAATTAAAAATATCATTACAAAAATGCAATTGCCAAGTAGTAAAAACTGTTGTAATAGTTAGCATTTAGCAGATTAAAAAAAATCAATTAAGATTTTTTCAAAAGTTTATTAAGAATAGGAAAATTTTAATTCCTTTCCGAAATATTACATGAGGAAAAAAGATAAAAGACATGGAAAAGATAGACTTCTTTTAGATCTTCTCTTGAGAATTTCCACGAGACCAAGTGAAATAAGGAGTTGCAGGTCCGTGCGCTAAAACGTGTGCGAGAACGAGCGCGACGCATTCTGTGCGCGACAATATCACTGGGAATTCGCGATTAGGAGTCCGTTTCATCGTCGTCGACACGGAATACGCCGCAACGCGAAGCCGGTGACGATGGCGAGCAATGTGAATAACGCGTGAATAACATGTTCAAAGGCGCATCGTCACGCGCAGTGCGGCTTGCGGGAGAGGTCAGGATTCAGCTTCGGCTGGCCATCGCGCGGTATGTAAACAAAGAGTTGATCACCGCCGATAACGACGGAGTAACGCGGTGACTGAGCCGGTTGGTCGTTCCGTCGATCAGTGGCCCCTCCGATCGCCCTGGTTTTCGCGCGAGTCTCGTAAGGCCACGTGTCGCGACGCGGACACCCACCTGGCGTGATCGACGTCCTCGTCGTCGGTGGACTCGCAGCCGGGAATTCGCGTCACACGGCTTGACTTGAGGCGACGGAACATCGTCACTACCTCACCGCGAGAAACGCGCACGACGTCCTCGTCGTCGTCGCCACTCGTCGCTGTCCGTCGTTCTGCGGCCCGTTACGCGGCGTACGTGGCGCATGCGCAGTGCGTCATTCGCGCGATAGTATCGATGTATGTAGGGTATCGATAATCGTCAAGGAGGCGATCTTCAAACGAGGCGAACGGAGATCTCACCTTGAAAAAGATTCTTCGAATAAAAGCGTTTTGAGATCGATAGAAAATTTAAATCTGATCTCTAAATAGATTTTTCGCAATAAATTTCTTAAATACATAGACATAACTTCATACTTTTTAAACGCAAAAAATAATCCTGCATGTTTACAAGTGCTTGTTAGCATCTGATTATCAATTTAATACATGTCCTTTTTCATTTTTTAGATTCAACGATACGGCTTTTAACTTTGATATAAAATTGATAGCATCAGATTGTCCATGTTGTCAATGAAATATTAGGACCTAATAGATGGCCCACTGAAAATTCTTAAATATCGGCCGATATATTTTAAATTGGGATGTAGGAAAATGAAATGCTTCCGTATAAAACTGCTTAAGATGAAACAGACTACAAAATCATCTAAATGATTCGAAAGGATATAAGCGGAATGTATTAAATTTACAAAAATTATTATTAATTATAAGATTCCGTTCAATAATCCGAAGATTTAATTTAATGAGATAACTCTTTTTGTAGAATACATTTGATCTAAAATGAATTTTTTTATATTAATAAACTATATTGAGATTAACAATTAGATTTTCTATTCTCTACTAAAAATTGAAAGAAATTTAATTTCGAATAAATTGTTTACGTTTGAATTCTTCAGAGTGTAGAATGATTGATGAATCACTTGACGGACTGATAGGATCGATAATTTTTTTTCTCGACGGATTTAGTATGAACTTTTTTTATTTAAACAACCTCCAGCTTCCTCGGGGAAGTACAAGTAGTTTTTATTATATCCTCGCACCAACAAATATTGTTTTCGTTAAGATACAAATGTCTACGCGTCTCTACATCGTGTATGTATATTCGCCGGTTCGTTTAACAATTCAATAATACCGTTACGAGGATTCTTTTACAAGTGCAAAAAATAAGAAAAAGACGCGCGTTTAAATTCTATCAATATAAGATCGAACTTTGCATTTCAACTCAATAAGGAGGAAGACAAAAAATGTAAGTGCACCAGATGCACACATTTCAATGTTCTAGAAAGGAAAAATGCTGCACCAGGTATATATAGTATTTTCATGAGAAACATGCGTATTTTGCTATTTTACCGCTATTTTAACCCTTAACCGGGCGCGCCGTGGCACTGAGTGCCGCAAAATTCATTTTTTTGAAAAATCATTGATAATGCAGGTCTTTTTTATAAGAAAGTAGATGCAAAATTTTTAATATTATAGTTAAATTTTAATACTATATTTTATTATAAATATATTTTACTTGTTTTTTATGACGATTATTCAATTATTAATGATAAATTTGTGATGCGGCACTCAGTGCCACGCGTACCCATTAACGTTCGGCCGGGAGGCGCGCCCGGTTAAGGATTAAGATTTAAATTCGTGTCTGCAGCAGAGTACGAAAGAACAGATAACATATTAGTAAACTCTAGGATGCATTTCAAAAGATTAAAGTGGTTCCAACAATATATGATATTCTCATAGAAATTTTACTTTTGTATTTTTCGAGATTTTTTCCACCCACTTTTGTAAAAGATTGCAATTGGATATCATCTCATGCTGATTAGACAAATCCAATTTTTTCAATATGCATTCTAATTTATTTAGAACACAGTTCAAGTTACGAACTAAATAAAGATATTCATTTCTCTATTCAAGTTTAATCATGTGTTATTCGTAAATGAGAAATTGTACACGACGTATCCTAGAGTTAAGCACGCTTCAAGGAACAAATAAAAATACGAAATTTTGCAAGAGAAAAAAGTCAAAGCGCGATTTCTAGATCGACAATCGAATATATATTTTCGAAGAAATCCAAAATAAAATCAAGGATAAAAGCATTTTATGGGAAGTTCTTCTTCTGGAATGTCTCAATAAAAATTCATCGGTTTCGCCAAAGCGTTTAATCGCCAAAGAATATCGAGATGAACTTTCAAGTTTGTTCTCGCTCACTTTATCAACTATCAGAATGTTATCGTGCGATCATTTTAATTAGTAGATTTTTTTCACATCTTGTCCACATGTACATTTGGTCGCAAATCTATATTCGTGGATGGAAAGCTTGAAAAAAAATTGGAAATAAATTCTTAAAAAAAAAATCGCTATTCCCAAATACAAGTAATCGCTTAGAAAAAATTCAAGTGGATATAAAAATTTGAATAAAGCAGGCATAACTTGAATAAAAAGATCGGATAATCTTTCCAATATTTATGTTTTCTTTAATTAAATTACGACCAAATCTACATGTTAGATTATCTTAAGAATCTAAATTGACGACTATAAAATGCTTTCTTTTTTAGTTCTCGTTCAATATTATCTGTATAATAATAAAATAATAATAATAATAACGCTACTAAATTGTAAACATTAATATTAATAATATAACACTACTAATTTGTAAATTTTTAATATTAAATATAATCAAAAAATATCTATCGCGTTATTACTTCTTAGTACTTTTTCCTTCTTTCTACCTCGCATATTATTTGTAACGCGCGGTGATGATAATAATGTAGCAAAATACAAACTCGTCCATGATACGGCGCGATCGTTTACATTACTTCGCGATCTGTTCTCCTGTGTGAAGCTCGCACACATCTCATCCGTATCATACCGCTATCGTTCGCTCTTCGTTTTACATTCCATTGTATGAAAAATTGGCAGCGTCTCGAGGTTCGAGTTTTCGTCAGTTTTAATCCCGTTGCGTATAGAACATTCTCTTTAAGAGGACAAAAAAATTTTTTTAAATTACAATGGCATATACCCAAACTGCCACAATGTGTTTTCCCTATCATTCGGCCCCTTTCACACGTTATTAATTATCTCCTCTATCACATTCTCTCACTCTCGCACTCGTTCCCTCATTCTTTCGGAAATCTTGGTAGCTAAAGCCATTCGGCAGGTATCGCGCAATTTAACCTTGCATAGAAAGTATGCAGGACAAATTCTCTCTGGCGCGATATCCTTTTCTTTCTCTCGGCTTTATATTAGTACTACCTATAGTCGTTATATTAGTACTATCTATAGTACTTCGATATATATATATTTATATGTATATCAAGTAAAGGCCACGAGTGTGTTTAATATAAAATCGCTAAAGTGTTATCAAAACTCGCTCGAAATATTCGTACGAAAATTCGGTACGATTTTACCGGTGGTAAATAGGCCATGCCATCGTTGAATCATTTACATTTATTAATCCGGGATGACGGATTGCGCCGCAATAATTTGTGTATGTACAAGGAGACAACCACGATATATACGATTTCTTTACAAACGCGACGCGCAAATAACAAGTTTATTTTAAAAAAGAAAAAAAAAGTTATTGAAAAATTTCGAAAAAATAAATTGGAAATATTCGTATATTCATATGAATATATACGATTATCAAGATTTTCTTTAAATATACGTTTTCCAACGTATATGTATGTGTGAGATAACTACTGATCCAATATATAATATTGTTCAAAAAGATCAGTGAGTAGTAAACTAAAAAACGAATAGAATATCGGATGTCGTGATATGTTCCCTTGCTCAAAACGGTCGCTGCCCAATACGAACTTCACAAGTTGGAAGTTACGCCTAAATTTCTATCTAACTCGCTACAGTATAAGCCACGTGCTGTAACTCGATTCCTCTATGGCTGGTGTAGCGGATTACAAATTGCGATTAATTGTGGATGTCGAGCAGCTTCCCTGAACGTGTATCTCCCCTGTCTACGAATATGGCCCGAAGTAAGCGTACAAATAGAGGAAAACCGTCCGTAAACGGGTAACGACCGCGATTGTCGTCGCGACGCATCGGTCGAGGTGCGCGTGTGATGGTAATAGTGCTGATAGTTTCTTGAAAGCGAATCCTTATTATCGAGGACGGACGATACGCGACGGCGCGATAAGGACCGCGACAGGCAGGACACCGATAGATAACCAGCGGTTAAGGATCGATGTCTCGCAACGCGAATAAATGACCGGCAGTAATACTTATTGTGAGGCGACTATATCGTCACCTCGGTGATCGAGGTGTTGTATCCGTTGATCCACAGATAAAGGTTTAAGTAACGATAACGGACTGATACAATATCAGAAATTTCCCTGCCACTTCCTGCCACATGAAGTGCCTTTGTCCTGTCAGAAACAGGAATGCTAATACTGTATAGTAAATTATTATATTAGGATAATAACAGTATGCACACAATTATTCTCGCTACTAAAAGATAGTTAAAGTAAGGAGAACTACTAGTTTCACAAGCAAGGCACTTTTGCGCGAAGTAGCAAGAAAATTTATTCGCGCTTCTGAGGCAAGTGATGATTCCGCGATAGAGCCAATCATGCAGCGTTAACATGGAAGTATATATGGAAGACGGCGCGAGTCGCTCGCTCTCGTCGCGTTTCTCGCCAAAAAGATGAAAACTTTGATTATCGATTTGCATGAAGGTATAGAATCATCATCGATATCGATAAGGTATCGAATCATATCGAATCAACATATTCGCAATTCTCGATGCGATAATCACGATATCATTCGCTCAAATTTTGAGGAAGGTTGAAAGTCTGATTGAATGGAAATTATATCTGCTATTAATCATATTATTCTATTTATACATCGATTGTAGAATCTATACCTCTCTGTATTTCTCTCCCTGTCTTATCTCCTATTAATCGCTTTCTCTCCTCTCTCTTTCTCTCTCTTATTCTTGCTATCATTATCCCATTATCATTTTACTGCGTTCCCCGCTTTCGCAAAGTCAAGTGAGAAATTGAAAGTAGGAAAGGACGTGAATAAAGTAAAGTGATTAGATGCACGCACATTAATTTACATATTCTCGAACTGATCAACGCGACGTTTGGTGTTGCCCTTGCGAATTTCGCGAAGTGTCTTGTATTTGTCGCGGCCCTGGCGCACGTTTTCCCTGTGGATCTTATCCATCACCGTCTCCTTGGATTCGTCACGCGACTGGGCGAGATCTTGCTTCAACGCCTTCAATAAAAACATTTCACTGTAGTGTACATAGAATTTTTTAAGAAAAAATACTAACTTCCAAGAATATGTATCGATTTTAGGAACTAACCGTTTACATAAATTTTAATTAAATATAAAATTATTTACAATAAATAAAATATATAGTAAAAGAAGTCAAAAGCTGAAGATATATTGACATTGAATATCAACGTACCTTCAATTGATCGTGAAGACGTTCGTTTCTCTCCGCTAAAGTGCGCCGTTCCTCGACAGGATCGATTATTGACTCGTCAGTCGCGAGATCCTTAGTGACATCTCCTTGAGGAATCTCATCTTCACCCTCTTCTTCGCCCTCTTCGTTTTCCTCGACGTGATGATGATGCGGAGTCTGATTAGCCTGATACTGCCGGTCAGCTTCTTCTTGTCTTAATCTTGCACAATAAGTGATAAATATGTAATTACCTCTAGTTATTTAAAAAATAAAGAATGAGAAAAAAAATTGCTCATACTTGGCAGCTTCAAATTCTGCTTGTAATCTCCTAGCTTCTGCGTCCTTAGCCTCCACCTCGGATTGTATGCGTTGCACTTCCTCTTGCTTGGCTCTTATCTCCTGTTCAAGTTTAGCGCGCTCCGCAGCTTCCATCTCATGCGAGAGTTCCAATTTTTCCATCATTGCCGTCAATTCCTGTGTCACGTAAAAACGTAAATTGCAGAAAAATCGCGTGTATGGACATACATATTATGTAAATTACAAAGGTGAAAATAAAAACGAGTTTAATTATTAATTCTGAACTATAGTTAAAAAGACTTGCTCACCTTCTGACGATTCTCTAGCTCTTCTTTCGCGGCCTGCAACTGCTTCAATTGTTCTTCCAATCGTCGAATCATTTCCTGAGCTTCGTTCAACTCAGCTTGCCGCCTATCCATTTCTTCTGCCATATTTCTTAACCTCTCTTCGTATTCCTGCTGTTTTTTCTCTGCACGTTCTCGTGCAGCTATCTCCAGTTGCAATTTTTCTCTCTGTTGCTGTTTCGCAATTTTCTCGTCTCTGGCTTGAGCCTAAAAAATTTTGTCAAAATCTTATTACAATCAAAAATAAAATGTTTTATTACACATATGTTATAATTAATTAAAATAATTCATATCAATTATATGTTTGCGATATCCTTTAGTTGTACCATTAAATTATATATATTAAATTATATTAGCTCTTAAATAAATCCAATATGTTATAATGATTACGTAAAGTGATGTCACATATGTATCGCTTAACGATAATATTATATAATCAGCTTAATTAGAGATAATTATGTACAATGTATTAATTAGAGATAATTATTTAAGATAATTATGTACATAAATATGTTTTATTAATTTTGTGATTTAATATAATGTACAAATATTCGTACCTTCATCTGCTGCACGTCGATTGTATCTGGCTTACGTCTGCGCATGTAGAGCTCGTGATTGCCCATGCATAGCGCAAGAATTCTCTTGTTAATCTTGACTCTGTTGGCGAAAAATACAAAGTCCGGTGCCTTCTTGTCGATTGGTTTGATTATGAATTTCTTATCGTTGAACGAGATATTCCGTATCTCGGACCAGGGGAAACCGATTTTCGGCGTGAGCTTATCATCCTTCTCATAGATGTTCAAACCTAAAGCATCCACACCCAACCAAAGGTCTGTGCCCTTCTTGTTGCGAATTTCAAAGTAATTCACACCATACATCTCTAAGTCCTACGGAAAGCAAAAAAATAAAGAAAAATATTAAAACAACAGCAGCAACAAGTTTTCAAGTGGAGAAACGAAGTCTATGTATTGTTCTTAAAAAGACTGATTAAAAAATACTAAACTCGTAAAAAAAACATCGAGTTAGAATTCAGAATCAAGATAAATCGAATAATGAAAAAGTATAATTAAGATACATCATATCACTGCACAAATACGCAGATCTCCAGGAACGAATCGCACAGATTAACCAGGGAAATTTTACACGAATAAAGTACCTAAAGACACAAATACAGATTTTTTTTAACATAACTTACCTGACATGCGAAAATAAAATAATTTTACGATCAAATATCGATACATCAGAATATCCATTCCCTTCTGAAGTCTACGCTGTACACTTCGGATTTATATTGTACGCGCTATTTGCTAACAGATACCTGAGCAATTTTCAGATACTCCATCATGGCGTCTTCTCGCAGCATACCACGATGTTCTTGCCACCAATTTGTAATCGAGCTGTCCCATTCCTCCTTGCTCATTTTATGTTGGTCCACAACACGCTGTGGTAACAGCCGATCGTTTGCCAAGAAGCCAGCGGGATGATTGCCTTTCTGATAGTCTCCATGTCTCGCTTGAACGGCATACGAAGCCAACAGAACCGATGTTTCCGGTGGGCAGTATATTTCGTCCGTAAGGATAGCGTTTTTTACCTGCAATCAATTAAGACGTTAATATCATTACTTAAGCTTAAGTATATAATTAATTTACGAAGCAATGTCGATTAACATTGTTGATTAACATAATTTAAATATAAAAACATTTATATAAAACATTTATTTAAAAAATCACTTATAAGACTGTTTATTGTAAACAATTAATAAAAGATTTATGAATAAAAAAAAAGCATTCAGATATTTTATTTTATATTTGGGATAAATATTATTCTCCATTTTCCAATTTCGCGAAACAATTTTATTCTTAAACACTGATGTATTTGCCTGGTTCAATTGAAAAAAATTAAAACGCATTCCTTGTATTCGCGTATCCGCCGCGGAGGAGACGATGAGCGACGAGAAGAAGCGAATCAGATAAACGATAAGTCTGATGTACGTGGCTTAATCCGACTGACGAATAAATAAGATGCATTGTTTTTACGTTAGACCAACTTGTTCTGCAAATCAATCACAAGTCTCGGAATTATTTTCAGAGAATCAAAGCAGCACATTAAAAATGATTACGTAAAATCGCGAATAATAAATGAAAAAAAAAGATGAATAATAATATTCTACCTGGAGATAAAAAAGTCGCAGCGTAATGTCTTGTATCAGTTCCTCGGCGACGTCTTCGGGATAGAATTTTGCACGGAATTTGAACTGCAGTGGTGTCTCTTTCTTGACTTCTTGGTTCATCACCTGCAAACATAAAAAAAATGAGTAACCTAGCTTAAAAAGCTATCTCTTGTTTTGTGAATACCACGCTTAACGTTCAAATGTGTAAAAGCGTGCAAAGTGTTTACGGATTATGAGATAATACTTGGCACGTGAACAAATAATTCTCGTGACATAGAAAGAATTATGGGTGAATATATATGAAATATGAGAGATCATTGCACGAAATAGTGGAAAAATAATTTTACTCAAAGAAATGTGCATTTGAAAAATAGAAATATGTTAATCCTACTATACATCTTAAATTATTATTATATATTATATACATAATACCGAATAATATACTTCAATAGATATTTGAATGTATTTTAATGCATATTTTGACTAAATAATATATATATATATATATATATATATATATATATATATATATA